TGCTTTGGGCAAACATGGCTAAATGTACAGTGGGGCCTTGTTTTGTACAAGTGATCTCGGCGATGTCGCCGAGATCACTTGTATGCAGCCTGCATACAGGGGGGCGCATTGAGGAACCTGGCATTGGGGCAGCAGAGAGAGTAAATCCGGCCCTCGGTGTGCCAGTTTACTGAAATGTATATTGCTGCTCTCTCTCCTACCCTGGGTAAAGACCAATCACATTCCAGCTTCTTCCCGTCTCTCCTCTGTCCAATCAAGCGGCAGGGAGGAGACGGATCCAATTTTGTTGCCACTATGCCTGGGTGGCTGCCAAACGTTAATGGGGCCACAAGCTAGGGCTACAAGCAGGGACAATTTTGCTCCTGTCACAGCCCCCTGAAAACGGGTACTCTCCTCAGAAAATGGGAATGTCTGTTCATCCTATCGTAACTACATGAAAAAGTGTGTTTCACATTAATCGTTAGAGCTTGCCTGAGCCCAAAAAACTAAAATACTGGATTTCTCAGGGGATCTGCACTTGCACAAAATGTACAATGCCAAAAAAGGAGCCACCACATCTAAGGACTGCTAAGCTGCAATATATTACATTTTTGTTCTTGGTTTTAAATATATTTTGCTCTCTGTTTTTCACTCTTTCATATGTTGTGTGGTGATGGGTTTTCAAAGTTTTGTTTGTGTCATTAAGGCATCCTGTCTGACTGGAGTCCATGGCAGGGGTGTGGGCAGAGTTGTGGCAGTCGGGGAACAGTTCTGAGTCAGCAGGTATATATCATAAATCTTGTTGTATGAACTGTGGTTAGCTAAGCTGATTGTGATTCATGTCATAGAGGAATTGAAGGGGTTATGGGTGTACTACCCTCTACATGCTGAATGATGTGCAAGGATTCCTTGTGGGTTTACCTATACAGTCTAATGATCCATTACATTTAATTAGGGGGTAAAGGTACATCCCCCTTAAATAGTCTTGAGGAAGAATCAGTCTTATTCTACTGCGATTTGTCCTCAGTCAAATCTGTTCTCCAAGACCACCAGTCCAATATAAACAAAATGCCCACTAAAAAGGGACTTGGCATTGGATAAAACCCTCCATTTTTCATCCATGTACCTATTGCAGGGGTAGGCTACCTTAGCACTCCAGCTGTGAAGTAGCTACAAATCCCAAAATGCTTCGGCCTCTGGTAATCATGTCTGTGACTGTTAGAATCTTGCATTGCCTAATGCAGGGGTGTCAAACTCAATTTAATCATGGGCCACATCAACATTATGGTTGCCCTCAAAAGGTATCTGTAAGACTACATAAATCTATGTAATCTTGATCATAATTGCCTCTGCATTCGATTATCACTGGTTTTAGTAATAACTTAATACCTAGATCTGAAAGTAGAAGTCTAGAAATGGCCTGGTGGGCCGGATTCGGCCCCTAAGCCTTGAGTTTGACACATGTGGCCTAATGGGATTTGTATTTTTACCCAAGCAGAAGTGCCATGGTAGCCTATCCCTACACGATAGAGTGTCCCAACTGAATTGAATCATCTCACTTTTTACACTGTTGACAGTAAATGATAGAAAATCCCCCCAATGGGGACACAAACAGCAATAAACCTATCCATATCTAAACCAAAAAAAAAAAGCTTTTGGCTAAAGTTCCACACAGTATGGAGGTCTGATTTCTGGGTGTCATGGCTATGAAGTGGACTGTTCAGCTTTGCACCAGACGAATTCCACATCGCTACCTTGCAATGAAGAATATGTGAATAAGTGCCACAAGGGTATAATAAGGCTCACGATGAAGCTCTACCTTTAAACAGATTTGATCACGAAGTATACATGTTGTTGATCACATGATCTTTTGGGTAGAACTGGGTTTAATAACTAGAAGCTCAAGTAGTTTATGTTGACAACACAGCAGCCACTTGGTGAGAAGCCAAAATCTGATCTTTTGTTAGTGTATTTATAGCACAGTACTCCTAGAGATTAGAGTGCCTTTGTTTTTCTTAGTATAGGAGTACTGTTAAGCTGGTGGACAGTGATGACTGTTACTTGTAGCATCAACACTCGAGAAATGTTGAAGGTAGAGGGTTAGCCTAACAGCCAAGCAAATTATTATTATAATACAGGATTTATATCGCCCCAACAGTTTGCGCAGCGCTTTACAATATAAGGCAGACATTACAATCACAATACAACATGGTAAGGAGGGCCCTGCCCCTGAGGGCTTACAATCTAGAAGGGTGGGGGAAGTGATACATGAGGAGGTAGCTGTGTGGATGAATTGTTTGAGAACGTGATGGTTGAGTGGTTAGTTTGAGGTGGGATAGGCTTCCCTGAAGAGATGAGTCTTTAGGGATCCCCTAAAGGCAGTCAGAGTGGGAGACAGACGGACAGGTTGGGGTAGAGAGTTCCATAGTATAGGAGAGACTCTAGTGAAGTCCTGGAGGTGAGCATGGGAAGAGTTGATGAAGGGAGCTGGAAAGCAGAAGGTCTTTTGAAGAGCGGAGTGGACGGTTAGGGTGATACTTTGAGACCAGGTTGGAGATATAGCCGTGGGCAGAGTTGTGGATGGCTTTGTAAGTGGTTGTTAATATTTAGAATTGTATCCTTTGGGCTACTGGAAGCCAGTGGAGGAATTGGCAGAGGGTGGTTGCAGACACTGAGCGGTTGGTTAGGTGAATGAGTCTAGCAGCTGCATTCATGATAGACTGAAGGGGGGAGGAGCCTGTGTAGTGGAAGGCCAATGAGGAGGAAGTTGCAATAGTCAAGACGAGATATAACAAGTGAGTGGATGAGCAGCTTTGAGGTTTCATTGGTATATGTAGATTTGCAATGGCAGTCTACATATTTTGCCCTCAGTACTAGTTTCCTATAAAGCGTATATCTGGCCCAAACTTTTTTTTTTAAAGATTTGGATCAAGTAGGGAAAGGTTAGAACCCCTGTTGAGTTTTTAATGCTGTCCCTGCTGGGGTTGTTAACCCTTTCTATTTGTCCTGGTGATCATTGTTACTGTAACTAAAAGTGATGGGAAATCTACTGTAAACTTAACAGATGTTACCACAACAGAAGGTGATGGGAAATCTTACAACAGGGGCGCCTGTGCTGGTAATTACTGTGTCAGAGGGGATTTCCTTTAAATTTGGAATGATTTTGTCTCATATACAGTTGTGTCTCTGTAACAACTGCATTTGAACCACTCCCTACTCTATCAAGACCAAAAAAAAGTTTTGGCTGTAGATGTATTTTAAGGGTATCTGCAGAGGACACAATTTTAATTTATCCATTTCTGACAGACACTGATTAGGTAGTATGTGTAACCTGGGTTGTGTGAAACGATGAGAAAGGGATAGCAGGCATCAGCAGGAGTACAAGTATGCGTTGTTGGACATTAGGGCTGACGTTATCAAAGATAATAGGAAATGGCATTTATGCACTCAAGAAGTTGGCAAGAGGGCTATTGGAGCCATTTCCTCTGCTTCTGTAGTGTGGTGTGGGTAGGTCTGCGGCAAGAAGTGTTGTGCATCAAAGTACAATCTCCCCTTCGTGTTTTTGGATATGTAATCTTCTTCCATTTTACAGGCAATGCTATGCTTGTCACTTCATCACTTCTTGGCCTCAGAGATACCCATTAAAATAATATTGTTATTTCATGGAAATGAAGTAGACTGGCCTGATACTTTAAAATGGGTGCAAATATGGAAGAATGTCTCTCTATTTCTGTTTCGGTGAAAACTATAAACATGGGATTTCTCATCACTTTTGATCCTGGTGGCAATGATCGTCAGAACAAATAGAGAGGATGAATCTCACCAGCAGGGACACAGACATTAATAAAATTAACACCTAAGTTGATATGTGAATGATCTGAGGCCTTGCAGGGTCTTGAGAACAGGGACCCTGGTTGGCATACCGACCTATGTGACATTATGTTTTCACAATAAAATGTTAAAAGGCATGTTTTGGAGTGCTGGCGGCTTCCTACTTCATGATTTTGATCTTACATGGTACTGTCCATTGTGACCACTTCAAACACACTTCTGTTTATTCTGGTCCAACACAACAGTGATTGTGCCGCTCAGGACAAGATTTACAGCAATAAACCTGAGATGGGGTTCTCGTTGCCACTGTATCCAAAGTTAAACAAGTTTTAAGAAACAGCTGGCCTGCTCGGGTCTTAGCCATGTTTTTCCAGCACAGAATCACATCAAACTTGTCTCCAGTTGGAATACAGAACGGTGAGCTCAGTGTCTATGACACTGTAAGCCAACATGGCACAGAGTCCAATTCCCATATACCAACTGGAGGCTAGGTGCAAGTAACATGCATGCCCCTAATTTTGGCCAAGTCCTTGTAAGTATGACAAAATAATTTTTGCTTAGGATACATGAATGCCATCATGTACAATGTGGTTATGCAGTTCATGATTTAGTCCATCGCATTAGGACTACTGTTGAATTTAAATTTACATGGGGGAAATCATCTACAGGTGAAACTCGAATAATTAGAATATCGTGCAAAGTTCATTTATTTCACTAATGCAACTTAAAAGGTGAAACTAATATATTAGAGAGACTCATTACATGCAAAGCAAGATAATTCAAGCCGTGATTTGTCATAATTGTGAGGATTATGGCTTACAGCTCATGAAAACCCCAAGAACCCCAAATCCACAACCTCAAAAAAGTAGATTATTACATGCAATCAATAAAACAAGGATTGTACATAGAACAATATCGGACCTCTGAAAAGTACAAGCATGCATCTGTACTCAGTACTTGGTTTGGGCCACTTTTGCAGCACTTACTGCTATTACTTTTGCACGATATTCTAATTATTCGAGTTTCACCTGTAGATACACAGCTTGATCATGGGTGTATCAGCTGCTACCCTTGTATCTATACCATGTATTGGCGACTACTGTCTACGAGATCTGCACCCCCCTCCCATGGGATAGCAACAAGTCGAGGTCCAGAATGAAATAAATACAGTGTACTAAGGAATGACTTACCCAGAAGTAGATTCATAAGGACTTCTTGTCCGGCCAGTGTGTTGCTACTCCATAAACAAACTAGTGTGCCAACTATCCAGGGTAGGCCATGGCTCGTTATTCCGATCAGCTTGACCATTGAACGTGCACTTGCCCATGATGAGGTACTGTTGGCGCAAACTCCAACGCTTTTGGACATAGCTATATCGATAGCCATGAGTGAATTCCATGCAATCCCTTTAAATGAGGGGTTTAGCTGCATGCAGTCCTCTTCTGGTAGCGGCTGGCTTTGCCGTCTTTCCCGGGCACCTTCGCTGGAGTTTCCATATTGTCCACTCTGTTTCTTGTTGAAGTTTCGGGCCTCCTGGGGTGATGTTGGTGGCTGGTTGAGAGACAAAAACTCCGGCCTGGCTAAGACATTATTCCTGTCCCTGGCTCTAATTCTCCGCTGAGGGGCTGGCATGGTCGCTGTAGCCCAAGATCTCCAAGCCAAGCTTTCTTACAGATGGGCAGGCCACAAGGGTTGGGCAGTGCCCCTTGAAGCTTTTGTTGTATGTAAGTAAGCTTTTGAACTTTTGCATGGGTAAGAGTCGGCTGCTCAGAGCACACATCTCCTGAGTTATATTTAGTCGAGGAAGAATGCCTTCGATGTTTACTCCATACTCTGGCTGGGCTTGACAGCAACTATCATCTGCCTATCAGGAGCCCCCTGGCAGCTGCAGCATCCAATAAGGAACAGAACGTTTTGGAAGGTAACATGAGGACTCACATGGCTGATGGTCTATTTAAACCTTGCAGTAATTCCTGTGGAGCACCAAGGATTCTGGGATCTGTAGTAAGCATGTGTCACCAGCTGTGCAGTCGCTAGGTGTGAAAGAACAATGTCAGCTGTCTACTTTATATCAACAAGATATACCATGGTAGCACAACTTATCGGTCTTCTTTTAAAAGTGGTTTCGCCTTTCCAAAAGTTATACGTATTATATTTGCTTTCACATATGTGGCCTGCCATACTGCAGAGAACCTGCAGTTACCCACTTCATTTATTTAATTGCTCAATGTTCATTTCCAAATGGGTGTTATGAGATACACAAAAAGCATTGCTGCTTGCATTATGCCAGTTCACCCCCAGTGTTAAAACATTGTCAAAATACGATTCAACTTTTAGATTAGCAAATTATGGTTAGTTAACCATAACTGGCTGAAGATATTGAATAGGAAAATCAGGATGTTCAAATGTCTCCAAAACGGTGCAAACTTAACTTCCGTCTAAAAATGTTAGTTGCCTGACTATTAAGCTGATCTACTGGCTCTAAAGTTGGCCTGAACTCAAAAAGTAAAGACTTGAAGGAACATTTAAATGTAAAATTTAGGATATGAAAACATTTACATTTTGTCTTGAATTTCTTCTGAAATATAGTGGTGTAGTGAGATGAGGAAGAATGCTCTGCAGTCAGATAGCATGTGCATTGGCTGGGATGAATAGGAATGATCTGCAGATCTCAGGAGTGTAGGAGTGGAAATTCTGAACATCGGGGAGCTCCCCCCATCTCTGCTCTCCCCCAATGTCTGCTATCCCCCTATCTCTGTACCCCCAATTTCTGCCACCCGCATACATTTTAACTACCCCAGAGGGGGCTGCATGGTGCCGCTGTCGGGTTGCAGTCTCCCTCCTCCTCTCCTGAGGGGTCCCGCATTCAGCTCTGTGTCAGTGTGGTGGTCTCAGGACGTGGAAGATATGTGGCCGGCGATGTATACAGGTGCCGCGAGGTCCCCAGAAGGCTGCCACGAGGTCCCCAGCAAGCGTGAGACCTTGCGGCAGCCAAATCAATGACAACATTTAAAGGGCCAGTATCGGGTTTTAGCATCGATACCAATACTGATATTGGTATCAGTGCATCCCTAACAATTGCCTTGTTCTTTTTTAAATACTAATCCTTGTTTTGCCGAGTCTGTTGCATTTTAGTGCTGCAGGTCTCCCACAGCCTCTTTGCAACTACTTTATGTATACATGCACTTCACAGATTACTGCAAGGCATTTCTCAGGGCTGGACTCCTGAAGGTAACAACAGTGAACCATGCCGGCATAATGGGGCTGATTGATTTATCTTTCGCCCAGCGTACAGCTGGGCAAATGCCACTACTGCCACTAGATGGAGCAGAGGACCATAGGACATCCTTACGCTCCTCAGCACCATCTAGTGGTGGTATTTCCTGTGCGACCGGCATTCGCCCAGCTATACACTGGGCAGAAAATTTATAAATCAGCTCCAATGTGAGCTAAAAAGGTTAGTCTCCACCAGATGCCCTGTGACACAACGCAGGAACAACATTGAGAGACAAAGACAGGACATTGTCACCCTATGACAGGAAATGCTTGAACAAGGCAGGATCACCAGGTATTAATTTAATGCAGATTTCACAATATTGAAAATGTCTTTTGAAAAACCATGAACCATAAAATGTATATGAGATAGTGGTTACAGATAGGCAGTGCAGAGGGCAAGGATGTGTAAAATGCAGTGGCCAACTTCTGTCTTTAGTAGCCAGATCAGTGAAAATAATTGCTGGTTCATTGCCTTGAGTTACTGGTTTTTCCCATTCTACAGTTCTATGGTAATTACAGCCATAAGTGGATAACATGGAAAAGATAACTTTTCATCACATAGCCTCAATCCACCAATAATTAAACATAAAAAGAACAAGGCTTTTATCATTTAGGGAAACGGGGGATTTGCTAACCACTCCACAGACAGAGACAACAAATATCTCCGAAAGAGGAACATCTGAAAGTTCAGTTTTCAGTAACTGGGAACACATTCATAGTTAAAAGGGTCAGTCCACCCGAAATCAATATACCAGTTTTGATGGTTGGAGGATCAAATCACCTGATCAATAGGACTTCAGCAGTATTTGATGTCTCTCAGAGAGTGGATCTGCACACTAGACATGTGCAATTCGTTCTGAATCAAAATTCGAACGAAAAATCGGAAATTCTGAGATTCGGATGTATCCGAATTACATATATAATGAATGCAAACGAATCCGAATTTCCGATTCCGAAATTCGTTAGCGGTAGTCTGTACGAAATTTCATTTGCTGGGCGAAATTTCGTTTCAACAAAGTGACATTTGAGAAAAAATTCTCCCCCTTATGTGTCACTTTGCTGTCACGAACGAAACGCAAACTAAACTAAATTCCGTACAGACTACCGCTAACTAATTTCATCCGAATCCTGAAACGAATTGAATTTTGGACCCGAATCCCGAAAAACAAAATAACGTAATATCCGAATCAAAACTAAACTAAACACATTTTTTGCCGGTGCACATGTCTGCTGCACACCTACTGTGCCCATATTTGCATGTATTTTATATACACTATATTGCCAAAAGTATTGGGACGCCGGCCTTTACATGCACATGAACATTTATGGCATCCCAGTCTTAGTCCATAGAGTTCAATATTGAGTTGGCCCGCCCTTTGCAGCTAGAAAAGCTCCAACTCTTTTGGGAAGGCGTCCACAAGGTTTAGGAGTGTGTCTACGGGAATGTTTGACCATTTGTGAGGTCAGGTACTGATGTTGGACGAGAAGGCCGGGCTCACAGTCTCCGCTCTAATTCCCCCCAAAGGTGTTCTATGGGGTTGAGGTCAGGACTCTGTGCAGGCCAGTCAAGTTCCTCCACCCCAAACTCGCTCATCCATGTCTTTATGGACCTTGCTTTGTGCACCGGTGTGCAGTCATGTTGGAAGAAGAAGGGACCGTCCCCAAACTGTTCCCACAAACTTGGAAGCATGAAATTGTCCAAAATGTCTTGGTATGCTGATGCCTTCAGAGTTCCCTTCACTGGAACTAAGGGGCCGAGCCCAACCCCTGAAAAACAACCCCACACCATAATGCCCCCTCCACCAAACTTTACACTTTGCACAATGTAGTCAGGCAAGTACCGTTCTCCTTGCAACCGCCAAACCCAGACACGCCCATCGGATTGCCAGACAGAGAAGCGTGATTCGTCACTCCAGAGAACACGTCTCCACTTCTCTAGAGTCCAGTGGCGGTGTGCTTTACACCAGTGCATCTGACGCTTTGCATTGCACTTGGTGATGTAAGGCTTGGATGCAGCTGCATGGCCCATTCCATGAAGTTCTCTACGCACTGTTGTTGGACCAATCTGAAGGCCACATGAAGTTTGGAGTTGCTTCCACTTTGTTATAATACCACTAACAGGTGACCGTGGAATATTTAGTAGCAAGGAAATTTCAATTTTCATGGAACACCTGAATCCAATGATTTTGAGGGGTGTCCCAATACTTTTGGCAATATAGTGTAAAACAGGAGGCGCTGGAAAACAAAAGGTGGGTGGAAACACCCAAACGTCCAAGGTGGGCAGGAAAAGGGAATCGAGAATAATGGATCTTGCTTTTGAAATATCTAAGACCTGTAAGAAACTACAGGCTAAGTCAGCCACCAAGCTCCACCCATAACCAAAATATCCATGGGGGGGGGTCCCTTTAAGCAAATTAATGTTTTGTGGAAAATTCAGTACTTGCCGTCTGTTCATTAGGAAAAGTGTCTGTTATCTGTTCAGTGCAGCGTCATATTAGAAGTTACCTAATTAATCTTTGTTATCTAGCAGCCTGCATCATTGCAGAGATGGGCCTTTGGGACCTGCCGGCTCCTGACACTCTATTACGTGATTAAATAAAAGCTCATTAGAGTCAATGACTATAATAATACATAATGCTGACAACTGCCTTAAATCGCCATTAACCAACATAGAGAGTAGAAGAGGGATTCACTATAATCACATAGAATTAGAGAAATGTCAGAAAGAAAAAATAGATTGAACATGTAATATTCGCAGTGTCTTTTCATAGTGTAGTCCATACTTCTTGTGTGTGGAGCTAGACTTAGATTTAAAGGAAGCTAAAGATGGCTTCTACAGTTTCCATCGCACAAAGTTTCACTTCTATAATCTGCCTTGTAACACTGATGCAGGTTGTACTTATATATAACACACTTTGCTGGTGCCAACCTCCTAATACCATCCAAAAATGGGGATATTGATCCCACCCTGATCCTTCCAATCATACCTATATTTGGAAACAAACAAAATAACTTTTCTTAGAGGGCAGAAAAACCCAGATTGTCCCACTAAAATGTCAGGAACCGCCTTACAACAGGAAAACCTTCATCCTGTAGAGAAGCAGGGGCCAACAAATTGCACCACACTTGGGGTCCATTCACATATCAGAGATTTTCAGCGTGCATTTGGCCATACAAATACGCGCGGAACCGCTCTAAACATAAAAAAACAATGCATTTTAATGTGCATTGTTCAGACTATTGCGGGGACCGCAAAATAGTCCAAACGCGATTTCAGGGGGGGATTCCGCACGGAAAAACGCGCGGGAAATGCAAATGTTATATATGAATGAAAGCTTACCTTTCACAAAATCTTAAGGGTGTTCATATGGTGCACAGCGTTCTTCTTCCCGGGGCTGTCCCTATCATGAGGCAGTCTTAGGCTGTTGCCCCAAGCAGCATCTCTTTGGGTCACATGGGCCTCTCTGCTGCCCCCTTTCTGGTCAGAGTGTCCCAGGTTGCTAAGAGCTGGACGGGGAGATGTGTAAGGGCCATGCATATTTCCCT